GCCGCTGCACTGTGGGAATGATTGACTTATTTCTCGAGATTTGTGGCTTGGCGGCTTTCGCTCAGCTCATGGACTGCGAAATGATAGACGCCTCTTTGAGATGTCCCTTTCTATTTATACACAAGGCCAAGCATTAGTAAGAAGACGGAAAAAGAACCCCTTTTTGTTTTCTGAAGAAGGTTCAGTAATCATGAGAGCTTGTGCCACCTTACTTTCGTGGTTGTTGGGTTTTTGATGCTATCATGCTCCCAGCTAACCATTGTCACCTACTAAGGCTGATTATAAATGGTTCATTCAGTGCTAAGAAGCGGACAACATGTTTTAATTGATCATGTAAGCAAATGCCTACAAATAACTGTATATGCGGTTGAAATTTAAAATTTTATTGACAACATAACGGTGTGTTACAATGTATAACTTATTGCACGATCACCTTGTGGCTTGGAGATTTATATAACGGTCACATAATATGTTCTAATATATATTGGAATCAGACTGTATACGATCCCTGTACACACAAATGCATGTGTCCTAACTTATATGAGCATAGATCATGAGTCCAGGTCAAATACAGATCAGGAGAGATACGATGACAGTTTGGGAAGTAAAAAAAGCAGGACAGAAGAATCCCTTCGCTCTTTAAATATTCTTCAAATTTTACTGCTATCCTCCGTTACTCAAAACAAATACAACGATAGACATCTCTCCTGGTTGATCAAAAAAATAAGTTACTTAAAAGTCAAAACAAATATAGTAATTAATTTTCAAATTATAATTTCGGTGTTGTTCAAAGTGTACATTTAAAGGCAAAATTGTATCTTCTTTTTATAATTGACTATAAGGCTCTAATATACTAGCATTGAGGCAATGAATTGAATGTAGTTTATTTAGTTAGGTTCCTTATAATAGAACCTATTTAGCCGAATTCAAATCCTTGACTTGCCAGGAGTTCTCGGTGATGTGACCGGCGATTAAAAAACATTAGCATTGAGGTATTGTCCATCTACCATAACCTATTACTAGTCCTAGCTGTACAATGACCCTGTTGACGAGATCCGATTAAAGAGCAAATAGGCTTGTTGACAACCAAAATTGTCCATTCTATGAAATTGTCAAAATGTGGAGAGAACTTCACCATTGTGTTCCGCTCGTCGAGGCGGTCAAAAAACATATATGGAACATCTAATTCGGAGTCTGAATGAAGGAGTTGTTCCCTCAAGAAAATCTCACCCTACCAGAACTTCTGACCCCCTGATTTTCCCATGGAGGTTCTGAGTCTGTGCGAAAATCAGAACTTCTGACCCCCTATCAGAACTTCTGATTTTCACCTAGAAGTGCTGGCTTTGTGTGGAAATCAGAACTTCTGATGTTCGCCTGGAGGTGCTGGCTTTGCGCGAAAATCAGAATTTCTAACCCCTGTCAGAACTTCTTATTTTCGTAGTCCGAATCAGGGAGAGTCCAAACTCGATTCCAACTCTTCCAAACTCATGGGAAACTTGGAGATTAAGTCTTGAAGAGGTTTCCTACTGGGATAAGACCACCTCCCTCTATATATATGAGAGGATCATGGCCGATTGAGTTCACATCTATCCAATCGTCATACAAACCAATCTATCAACTCCTTTTGCCCTAATTCCCCTCTCTCAACCCCTCTTGCTGTTCATTGAGTTTCCTGGCTAGATTCAGCGGCATCCTCGGTGGCCTTGCTCGTCCTAGGAGATTCTCCACGTGCTCCTTCCCGACGGGTCTTCTTGGGAGAAGTTCGGCAGCTTTTCCGACAGAGAACAGGCTCTACATCGGTCTTATCGGTCTCTAGATCGGTTTGATCGATTACGCCGCGTTCTTGCTGCGTTGCAAGTTGTGTGCAACCTCTTTGGGTGTCCAAGGCTCTGCTGGTGTGTTGGCTTGGGGTCATCTTCAACGTCAACATACTTTTGGCGACTCCGCTGGAGAGAGCAAAGTGAATCAAGAATCAATCTACTAGCAACATGGGAGGCAACGATGGTACTGCCACTGACAAGGGTGACAAGACCATCCACTTCAATGAGGATAACATGATCTTTCCTCAAAATATGGATGAGCTTCCAGATGAGTTACGCCTGAAGCTACAAGCCAAGCTCGGTGCCGATGTCAAGGCTTTCTTGGAGAGCTGCACCAAGAACCGACACGACAAGGTTACTCAATTCCGTGAACCCGTCTATGGCGATGCTACTACTTCCACATCTTCAGGAGCTAGGGAGAAGGGAGATGGAAAAGCTAAGTATGATGAGAAGGTAAATACTGATGCTTATCCAACTCATGCCAATTTTGCTCAGATGTTGATAGATGAAAGGAAATTGCATAATAATAATCTTCAGCATCTTTCTAATCTACTTCAAGCACGTATGGATAAGTTAGAGGGCAAGACAACCGATTGTGATCAATTGGGTGTCGTGCAACAACCTTAATTTGGTATGCCTTTGAATTTTTATGAAAATCAAACCTCTCATGCTTTCACTAGCCAATTTCAACCGATAAGGCCGGTCAACCAGGTGCTAGCACATCTACACGTATAGGTACTGGTGCACAAAGTTCGGGTCGAGCTCTTCGAACCGATTATGGAGCATCAACAAATAGAGCTTCGGTTGGGCATAATATTTTACCAAACCCACCATAGTCACCTAGTCAAATTCCTACATTTAAGGTTACTCGTAATGCTCCTACTACTGATTTTGATGATGCTTTGAATCGGTTTAAGGATGAACTAGCTAAATCTCTTGAAAATAGTTTAGGAGTCCAACTTAAATCTAGTAGGAATACTTATCAAAAGCCATACCCTTCTACTTATGATTTCATGAAAGCACCTGATGGGTGGAGGGTACCTGACTTTTAGAAATTTAGTGGTGATGATAGTAAATCGACCATGGAACATATTAGCATGTTTCTTGCACAATTGGGTGAAGCTTATGCTTATGATTTTATGAAAGTTCATAATTTTCCTTTATCACTTACTGACACTGCTTTTGCATGGTTTACTTCATTACCGTCTTGTTCTATTGGTTTATGGGCTGAATTAGAAGAGAAATTTCATAATCACTTTTATAGCGGTGCTCATGAAACTAGATTGTCTCACCTTGCATCGGTTCGTCAAGGGCGTGATGAGTCCGTCCATGATTTTTTCAAACGATTTAGAGAGATTAAGAACTAATGTTTCCATTTAAATATTTCTGAAAAAGATTTAACTGATTTATGCTTTGCTAGTTTACATTCTAGTATTAGAGAAAAGCTTGAGCATTATGAGTTTCACAATGTTAATCAACTTATGTAAAAGGCCGTTTCAATTGAATCACGCCTTAAAGAGTCTCGTGATGCTTATAAATCTCATCGTAGAATGTACATTTTGTTGGTGACTGTTTCTCTGATTCTGATGATGATAATAAAGAATGGTTAGCTGCTGAAATTAAATGGCCAGCAGAGAATAAATTGGTTACTTGTCCTCTCAAGCCGATTCATAAACATCGGAATGAGGAAATGAAATTTACTTTTGATTTCTCTAAATGTGACCAAATCTTTGATGAATTGTTGAAATTCGGTTATATTAGAATCAATTATACATTGCCTTCAGCTGATGAGTTAAAGAGAAGGGCTTATTGCAAATATCATAATTCTTTTTCTTATGCCACTAATGATTGCAATATTTTTCGTCGGCAGGTCCAATCGGCCCTTAATGCAGGACGATTGATTCTCACTAAAATGCAAGTTGATAAGACCCCTTTTCCCATGCACATGGTTGAAGCGGGGGTGCCCGCTGTTTTGATTCGTCCAGAGCAAGCCGATAAATCCCAAGGCAAGAACGTGAATATCGGCGAACCACGTGTAACACCGAATGTCGAAACGAATTCGGGATGCAAAGTGGTGCTTGAGAAGGATGATGAAGGCAAGAACAAGTTGAAGATCACCACTGGATCAACATAATATTTGAGAAGGCAACGGTGGTATTAAACAACGGCAGCACAGCAGAGGCCGGCTACGCCGACTCCACCAGTTGGCCAAGCCAACTCTAGCACACAACAGGGCCAGTCGGCTTAGCCGACTTAGGGAGTCGGCTGCCACCACCTCAGCCAAGTCGGCTGAGCCCACTACGCCAGCCGGCTTAGCCGACTCCCCTGGTTCCAATAGCTTCGGCGCCTCTAGTGTTCATGCTTTGCGCACATTTGTTCCACAACGACCGGAGATTGGCACCTAGAAGACCAATGAGAAGAACCAGGGAGAGTTCGTGAAGAAGCAATGCACCTTTGACAGGCTCATGACCAAGTATAAGCAACAAGAGGCTGATTCCCAGAATCGGCCGTAAACAAAAGAGGGTCTACTCTGCCTAAGCGGGAAGATGACAAGATCAAGCAATTGGCGGTGGTGCAACCAATAGCTCCGTCTCAGAGAGTTGTTCCTCATGTTTCTCGTTGGGGTCCCCCAATTCCACCTCCGGTTATGCCATAATGGGGTCCCTATGGGGTTTGGGTGCCGTATCCTCCGGCGGTGCCTATGCATACTAAACAAAGGTGGGGAGAGCCTGCTGGTCAAATCTAAAGGACCTCCATGTTTAGCCAATTGAATAATGGTCAGTCGAGCTCCGGTGGTGCAAGTCAAGATCGCGTGATTATTTTTAGGACTCTGACTCCATAGGAATCAGGAAAGGCACCAATGCAACAAGTCTATGTGCCTAATAAGGTTGAGGTTCCTGTTGTTTCCCACCAAGAGCTAGGCCTCAATCGACCGTCACAATTGGCTCCATGGAAGCTCCTGTCATTAATCATGATGGGACGATTGTAATTGAAGAAATTCCAGTATCTAAGCAAGATGAAGCTCCCAAAGATGTTGCTGGAATTGAAGAAAAGAAGCGCTCCGAAGGAGATTCTAAGTATCGGCAACCCATATGGTGTCCTCGTGGGTTGAATAAAACTCAAAGGTGTAAGTTGTAGCATGCCCGACATAAGCAACAGAAGAGGGAGAAGCTTGCCAAGATGGAGGGTGAAATTCTCAACCCCGTACACGTCAAAAATCCTTCGGAAGAGCAGAACACCGCTACTGCTGTTGGCCAGTCGGCTCAGCCGACTCCTGTGCTAAGTCAGTCGACTAAGCCTACTTTGGCTGCCCCTATCGCCCTAGATGTGCTAGAGTCAGCTAAGCCGACTTCCCTTGCTGATGCTGCTCTAGGAAGCCCAGAGTCGACTAAGCCGACTTTGGAGTCGGCTGAGCCAACTCTTTCTGTCCCGGGTGCCTCTGAGGTGTCCTCCGATGATTTTGCTACTACTGTTTTTGCCCTGGTTAGCATGGAGATCCCTTCGGTTCCCTATGAGGAGATGGTTGACTATGAGGCCACCCTAGAATGAGGGGAGATCAATGTGGTTGTTTTGTCTACTGATTACTACATCGTAGCAGATGACTCTATGGCGATAGAATTTAACTTCGCAACGGAGAGCGCTGTGTTTCAGAAGCCAAATGATTCCGTCAACCATCTCAAGCTTCTACATGTGAAGGGCCATATCAATGGTACACCAATCCATAGCATGTTGGTGGACAATGGGGCAATAGTGAACTTGATGCCATATCCGCTTTACAAGAAGCTTAGTGGCACTGATGAGGAGCTGATAACATGGAGCTCACCATTGGAAGCAAGACTTTGGCTACGGCATTCTTTGTCGCCGATGTGCAAGGTAGCTATAATTTGATTCTTGGGTGTGATTGGGTTCATGCCAATCATTGCGTGCCATCTAGTTTGCACCATTTTCTCATCCAATGGGTGGGAGATGCTGTTGAGGTTGTGCATTTAGATTCATCGGCTGATATTGCTACAGCCGATGCTCCTATGTTTGGGGGGCATGATGCTATTGCTTGCTTGTCTAGTAGAGACCTTTCTAGCTTTGAATTTATTAGTGTTACCAGGCAAGGTTTTGTTCCTGTGTCCTTGAAGCCGATTGATAATCGGCTCAATATCATCATGTAATCATTATTGTAATGGATGCCAACGTTGAATGGTTAAAACATCGTGTTGAACAATATCGGGCTAATAAGATCGATGCCTGTGAAGCTATTGATGATTTTGATGAGCTCGATAAGTTGGGACATGGTTTTATGTTGGTCAACCCTTTGGAACAAGTTGATATTGGGGATGGCTCTGTGCCCCGACTGACGTTTATTAATCAAAACTTGGAAGCCGATTACAAAGTTGAGTTAATCGCGCTTCTCAAGGAATGTGTTGATTGTTTTGCATGGGATTATACAGAGATGCTTGGATTGAGCCGAGAGCTTGTTGAGCATCGGCTCCCCATTAAGAAAGGATTCAGGCCTTTCAAGCAAAACCCCCGCCGATTTAATTCTACAATTTATGATAGGATTAAAGAAGAGATTAATTGGCTATTGCAAGCGAGGTTTATTCAGCCATGCAGGTATGCGGAGTGGGTCTCTAATATTGTGCCTGTTGAGAAGAAGGATTCTGGGAAGATCAGAGTCTGTATTGATTTTAGAGATCTGAATAGAGCTACTCCAAAAGATGAATATCCTATGCCTATAGCCGATATGCTTATCAATGATGCCTCGGGATACTAGGTTATTAGCTTTCTTGATGGTAATGCGAGTTATAATCAAATTTTCATGGCCAAGGAAGACATATCTAAGACGACCTTCGTATGTCTTGGGTTTGTTGGTCTCTTTGAGTGGGTTGTGATGACGTTTGGGCTGAAGAATGCAGGTGCTACTTATCAAAGAGCTATAAATTTGATTTTCCATGATCTAATTGGGGTGATTATGTTGGTATACATTGATGATATTGTGATTAAATCGGCTGCCCATAAATCTCATTTGGCCAATTTGCGTCTTGCTTTTGAGAGGATGCGCCGCTATGGATTGAAGATGAACCCACTCAAATGTGCTTTTGGAGTATCGGCTGGAAAGTTCTTAGGCTTTATTATTCATGATAAAGGCATAGAGGTTGATCCCTAGAGGATAGAGATGATCAAGAATGTTCAGACGCCTACATGCAAGAGGGACTTGCAAAAGTTCTTAGGGAAGGTGAACTACTTGAAAAGATTTATTACTAACTTGTCCGGGAAAATTATTCCTTTCACCCCATATTGAAGCTGAAGGATGAATCTGAATTCACTTGGGGGGCAAAGCAACAAGAGGCATTTGAGAAAATAAAGGAATATTTGTCAACACCACCGGTTCTTCATGCACCTAGAAGAGGAGTTCCATTCAAATTATATATTGCTGCCGAAGAGAAGATAATTGGGGCTATTTTTGTAACACCCCTGGTGTTACGAGCTTGCTTAGCACCGAGATTTTGGTATGAGAGGGATTAGCCAAACAAATTTTTGGGTTTTAAAAATTTATAACGCACGTGAAATGATAAACAAATTCTATGTGACTCATTTTTGTGGTTGGGAAAATCAAAATAAATAGTGTTAACTAGTGCTCTTGGGAGCTAAAAAATCAAATTTGACGTTAAGATAAACTCTTTTCGTTAAGTCAGCAAACACTTGAACTATTGTTTAAAATACCATTTTTGGCGAATTATATTGAGCAAAATAGTTAAATAGTGCTTAAATATTTTTCTCCTATGGGTTAGTATAAGGTATGGACTATTGCATGAAATGCTTGTTGGTAGCAGTTAATAGGGTTGAGGCCTTTTAAAAATTGTAACAAAAGTGTTAATGACTGGTAGTTCAAACTAAACCTTAACTTTTCTAAGTATGGGAAAAGTAGTAAGACAATACTATTTTGACATTTAATTTCTAACAAAAATATTTAAACACTAGCTGCATGTTTTGGTATTGTTGATTGCATCAAAGTGAGTACTTGAGCATGGCATAGGTCGAAGTTGTGTTGGATGTCACATTACCCGCTCTAAATTTGTCCAAACCTCCTTAGAACGTGTTGTGAACCATGATTTGGTGCTCGGTTCGTGAACCGGCGTTTAGCGTGACGAACTCATGTTGGCACCTCTCTATCTCCCTCTCTGGTTTCTCCTTGGTCATGACGATTGTTTCGCTAGCTAGCTGGTAGTGTTGACCTTAGGTTCATAGAATTGGTTGAGCCTTCATCGAATCAGTGAGCAGTTTTTGGCCCGCTTTAAAAATTGTGCATGGCATCGTTCCTAGTTTCTTGACCTGAGGCGGTCGCTACAGGCTCGAGTGTGCTGCTAGTGACGTGTGTCATTGTCGCGTGTCGCTTCGTGCCGTACAACACTTTCGCCTCTCCGTGTCTAAGTCCCATAGGCCAGCCTTGGTGGTCAGCTGGCTGTGCGCTAGGCCAGGCTTGGCCGCCACCGCCCCCCGCCGTGAGCACGTACGGCCAAGTCGTGCACAGGACTGCACTCTGCCTTCCCTATCACCTTGCCTCACCCAGTAGCAAGCATTCATAGCCGCTCACCTCACCTACCCCTGCTCTTGCTCGTACCGCCACCTGCCGCATCGCGACGCCGCACTGCCATGTACACATGGCTACACAAGCACCCCTAGGCTCCAGCCGAGCATTAACCACATGACCCTTGCCCTCGCTAGTGAGGTTGTGTCCTCGTGCTACCATGCCTTGTTGGGTCTTGGCCGGGTCACCTCCGCCGGGGCCACTCCTTGCGACATGGCGGTGGCAGTGCGTAGCTCTCCTCTCCCCTTCATAATCACCAACTCAAGCCCTCCTAGTCCAATTCCTCGCACCGGTGGGTAGCTTAGCAAGTTAGCTAGGTCTCGCATTCTCATCAAGCCTAGCCTTGGTCTGGCCACGGTCAATTTCAGTTTCTCCTCGCCGTCGGTCATGTGCGCCACCGTGACCAGGGTTGGGGGTAAGGCCCATAGGAGTGGTAACAGTTCAATTGCTCGTAACCCTGAACTCACCTTGACTCCCTCTATCCGATGCATGCACTATTTTGGCCAGGGTACTCGTCGGCGACGTGGTGATGCATCGCTGTCCTGCTCGAGGTGTCGCCGCCATTCTCGGGTGCACGTGGCTAGACCACCTCAGCTTTTCCTTGCCTCAACTGTCACTGTAGCATGAATTCTGGTAAGCTACTGGTGCTTATCCGCTATCTATACCACCCCGATAGAATCTTAGGCCATCAGAACAGTCACGCCACCACCGCGGATAACCGCTCGCCACTGCAGCCCACGATAGTGCACCTCCAAGTCCCTAACCGCCACCCATCCTTGTGCGTTTAGCTATAGATGGTGGTCGGCCCCTTACTTCCGTCGTAGCATGCCTAGGTTACCCGACGTAACAGCCTTATGTCATCGGCCACCGCACCAACGCGCGTGGGGATCCCTAGGGACCTCCCCATGGTAAAGGTGAAAACATCTGAGGGTTTGGTTGCAAGATTGCTGATGGTAGGAATAGTACACATAATAGTCATGTTATTATCTAAAAGAACGGGGGCTTTTCTGCAAAGCCCCCATCGCGCATGGGCCTCCCGGCCTTGGGTCATGTTGGGCCATCGTGACCCCCGTGAGGCCGCGCCCACGTTGGGTCATTGGGCTGCCGGGCCAGAATGGGTTACTGCCAGCCCTTTTCTTTTTCTAATGCATTTTTAATTTAGTTTCTAAGGTAAACTTGTAAATTTAGTATAAAATTGTGTAGTTAACCAATAATTGTGAAACCAATTTTGTTCTATTCCTAAAATCATGATCTATCTGCTAGTATATTTTCTTCACATAGTTTTATAATATTTTTAGTAGTTATCTAATTAAATTGAGATGCCTAATATTGTAAGATATAAACTTGTAGGAATTTTTGTGATAAATTGGTAATAGTGTTGGCTCTGAACCTTTCATAGTAAATTCCTAACATTATTAGGTGCTCACTGTAATTTTTGTAGCTCCATAATAATTAGTTTGCTAAGGTAGCTAAATGAGCCCTAGTTCGAAAATATATATTTAATCAATAAAATGTCGAAACACCTTGGGATTTTAAAACTAGAACATTTTCCAGGAAGCAATGCCTTATTCGACAACATGGATACGTAGCCTAGCACATTAGTTATTAGAGCTATCTCGTTAGCTTACGAGGCATAATCGTATTTCTAAGAGTTTTGATTGCCGTTGATTATTTATGTCTCTGCGTTGGATCCACGTATATCATAATAGGAAGAACGATGGATCATGGTGGTGATCGGAGTAGCGGAAAGGATGGTGCCTTGATGATCGTGTCACCATGATGGAATGCTAACTTTTGATTATATCATACCCAGGCAAGCCCCGGTGCATAACCCCTATTATTCTGTACTTTATTTTATGTTTGTGCATTAAGTTTTAAGGTGTTGAATGAAACCACTTGCATATATATATCCTTATCCTATGAGTCCTACTAGAATGTCAAGATCATGTAGATTGCTATGCTATAGGAT